AAAATTTTTTTTTTAATTTTTGGAAAAATATCTTGAAAAATAATTTTTTTTTTGAAAAATGTTTAGAAAATTCATTTTTTGAAAAATAAAATTTGTTCAACCTTCATCATTAATCTTATTAAATTTGTAATTTTTCATGAAAATTTTTCATTTCCAGCTCTTTTCAAATAATTTTCTGACATCCATAGAAGTACATTCGCATTCTCAGCTACAAACCAGAGAACATACATATGTACATACAAAATGGAACACATTAATGCATTCTTAGTCATCTTGTTGTTGTGCTATAAATTTGCTCTGCCGGTAAATACGCCTGTTGGCTGTGTTGAGGCGTGAAATTAAATTATGCCGCGTTTATGCGATTGCATTTCACTGAAGTTTAGTGGAAAATTAGAGTTTGCGAATTTTAACAAATGATAATTTGAAAAACTATGCGCTTCATGCTGTTGATTGAAGGTGTGTGTGTGTGKGCTTTTAAATTTGTTAAACAAGTAATTTTCACGGCTGACTGAGAAAATGCAATGAAGTATTTGAAATTCGTTGTTTTGTGCAGACACAATGTGAAAATTGCATTGCTGAGATACACTGGCATAAAGTGGAAAGCTTGATGAAATTTCAAGGAGTGCAAAAAATTCGTTAAATTGCGTAAAACTTTACACAACATACTTTTTAAGCTTAATAAAATTCAAAGCTTGTCTTTAGAAAGCAAAAAAGTAAGTTGTAAGAATTTTAATGGCAATGTGACATTATAATAATTAAAGATGTGTGAAAAAATTAGTTTAAAATTAATAAAATTTTTACTTAATTAATTTAGTTTTTTTAATTTTTGTTTTGAGTTTTAATTTAAAAAAAAAAAAAAATAAATAAAATATTTCTGGGCATTTACGGGATGAAAAAGAATTTTTGTTACTTGAGAAAAAACGTTATTGCCTTAGGTTTTTATATTTTAGAGGAATCCGTTATCATATATGAATATTTTTGAAGCAAAAATGTTAAAATGTTTTAGTGCGAATATTTTGAATCAAAATGTTGTATAAAACTTACCTTAAATTTTGTTCTGCAAAGAAAAAGAAGATATGGCTGTAGTAATTTATATGATATGTGCATATAAAATACATAAAAACTTTAAGAAAATAAAAATAAATAACAACAAGACAAGACAACAAGACGTTTATTACGGATACACCGAATACCCTTTACAGGTGCATTTCTTATAGCAATAAATGCCATAAAAGTAGTTTTTTTTTAGTTTTGGAGGCCAGTTTGCATAGCAGCTATATGCTATAATGGTCCGATCTAAATAATATGTACGGATTTATGACGTTGCTTTGGGTAATTATATATCCACAATTTCGTCCAGATATCTTATCAAACAAAAAAGTTTTTCTTAAAATTATTTGATTTTGAACATTCAGTTTGTATAACAGCTATATGCTATAGGTATCCGATCGGAATAATTTCTTCAGAGATTGCATTATTACCTTGGATAATAACTCCTAGCGAATTTAGTAAAGATAACTCATAAAATAAACAAGTTTATCAGACAAGAACATGATTTTGATCGTTCAGTTTGTATGACAGCTATATGTTATAGTTATCCTATGTGAAAAATGTTTTCGTTGCTTGTAGTACTGCCTCGTAAAATAATATGTGCCGAATTTCGTGGAGATATCTCATCACATGCAAAAACTTTCCATACAAGCACTTTATTCCGATCGTTCAGTGTGCAACTCAGCTAAAAGATTTAGTGCTCCGATATCAGCGATTCCAAAATACGAGCAGCCTATTAAGAAGAGAAGGACGTGCGAAGAGAAGGACGTGCGAAAAATTTCAGATCGATATTGCAAAAACTGAGGGAGTAGTTCGCATACCAACAGACGGACAGACAAACGGCGCTGACAAAATTGACTCAACTCTTAACGCTGATCACTTATATAAATATATAAAATTTTCTCCAAAGTTTTCATCTACGCGTTAAAAACTTTATGTCAAACTTAACATGCCTTGTGCAGTGTATATTTAATTAAATTAGCAGTCTACAATGTTGACCATAAACAACAAGGCGTAACCATAAGCTTCCCTTAAAAATTTGTCGAAGTCTTATTTATATTTATTTGTATAGGCGATACTTTTTGAGTGCGCTTACTCCGCTTTAAAGCTCTTCATCATTTGCACTTAAGTGATTGCGCTTCTAGCGGCAACACTGTGTGCGAACGCCACGGCGTATGAGTGCCGTAAATAAAGGTGTTAAAGTGGCTACTGTGCTGCATACTTAATATGCAAATAAACATACGTACGTGTAGTTATACATGGAGAACCGAAGCTGCACACACACACACACAAACGCAACACAACTGCATTGCATGTTGCATACATACAAGAATATGCATATCACCAGTGTGCATAGTATCTCTTACATACTTACTAATTTCCAAACATGCATATTTATAAGCCAGCACACCGCATATATTTACATTTATAGTAAATTTCTTTAAAATCTGCTCATCTGCCACCCAATATGTGCGTATGTGTGCACCATTTGCTGCTTGTCTTCCACTCTATTTGCATACATTTAGGAGTTTCTTGCCATTTTTCAATCGAAAGCTTTTCTTCCTGCTGCAACGCTACGCTCTTTCGTCTTACTTTTATTTGCACTCAGCTTTATTGGTTACCTGCTGTCATTTACCGTTAGCTATCCTGTGGCTTCTTCAGCAGCTGAATTGCTGCTTGCCGCACACTTTTTAGCTACTTCACATCCGGCTGGCAAGGACCACAAGCCGAGCGGTTGCAAATGCTGCGGTTGGTAATCTTGGCCACTAAATCTAGTCTGTACTGCAGCTTTCTCAATTTTATCTTTTAAAACTTAGCTTCATATATTTGTGTGGTTTGCTTATACTCGCAGCTATTGTTTTCTTTGCTTCAATGTGGTTCACTTGCTTGCTAATTTTACTCTACGTATTGCTTTCGGTTTTCCAACATTTTTGCAAATATCTTAAATTATAGAGGAAGCTCTCAAAGAGTTCATACGCTCACTATAAACCTTTGATTTCGATTATTTGAAGCAGTAAGCTTCATAATAATTATTTGAATTTGAATTTCGTTAGTAATGTTGTACGTTTAGGGTTGTGCAGGTTAAAGGTTTAGTGTTAGCAGTTTGCGCATAAGCTTGATACCGAAGACAATTCGATCGTTTGCTACATATTATGAGATAAAAGATCGTAGATTATAATCATGCCTCTGCGTCATATATCAGGACGGGTTGATGAGTGACTTGTAGAGTTTGGTCTTTACCAATTTGTTTCGCTTCCTCATCCATTCTGGAGAACTAACTGTGCGGTTGTTAAGGCCAATGATATCAATATAATCGGTGCACACCAGCTGCTGTACACTCTTATTCTCTTATTGAAAATTGTACCCTCTCTAATTAGCTCTGCAGTTCGTATTATTTTCTTAAATAATAAATTGAAGCAGTTACATGATATTGAGTCTTCTTGCCTGAAACTTCGCTTAAAGGTCCGTCCTTTCAACATCAGCTTACACGGTCGTATTAGGTTTGCGGAGATACCAAGTTCGGACATAGCGGACGAAGTGGTGCTGCTCGCCGATCTTACTTTGATGGGTATTTTCCAATATTTGGCGCGTGGTGAAAACTATGTAAATGTAGATTTTCCAGATCTAAAGCCACACTGAAAAAGTCTAATCAGTTTGTTGACGAAGGGTTTCAGTCTTTCACACACTACGCTCGATAAGACCTTATGTACGATATTAAGAAACTTATGACACGGTAATTGGCGCAGATTGTGGGAACCCCCTTTTTATTTCAGCGCACGCTTAGATTTCAACCGTTTGGTATGATTTTATACATTCCGACCATATCTTGCAAAAATTTAGACTCTTTAGAATATATTTCTGCTATAAAGAAGTTCTCACAAAATTGATCAATTCGAAATAGATTTAAAACAATGAAGGGTCCATATTCGTCAAGCAGAAGTTTAACCACATAAAAATAACTGTAAAGATTTTAATCAGAAAAAAATTATTTTGCTTAATTGACTTCGCAAATTTGCTTTATCGTCATTTAGAATATTTCCAACTCAATAGTTTCTAGTTTTCATATTTGTGGCTTATTTGAAGAGTACGTTTTGATTGTGTCTTTCCAATAAATATTTTTGCCAATGCAATATTAAAACCTCTGTTGTGCGCCTTCTACACTTGCCCTCGGGCTAGAGAGTTGCTAAGAAGTATTGGCATGGAAATAAACGTCAAATCAGACACTAATACTTGCACATTCATCAAATGCACGAATAAGGATGAGAACGGAGACTATTTCGCATTTTATTATGTAATATTACCCAACTGCATTGCAATTGCCACAGCAGCAGAGTAGAAATTTCACCACAAAACGAAGCCAATTTACTGGCTGTAACTTCTTGGCAATATATTTTATTGAATTTGTATAAGTATTTATTTACAAAATTGCAATTGCTACTCTGGATATTGCTGACAAACAATGCGAGAGCCGAGGGCATTCGAACTGGAGTATTTCTTAGTGAATCTAAGTAGAGCTTATGTCCTTGCGGATATATAAAGGTTTATGTAACATATTGCAGTATTTGCAGCAATTGAGCGAGATTGTCAAAAGCATAAATTGTATACGATAATATTCTTTGCTGTGGTGAAGGTTTGGGGGGTGTACAGGCGGGGCGTTATTGTGCATGCTTGATTAGAGAGAATCTCACGCTTAAGTGGCAAGCTTTAGATAAATAAGAAACAAGAAAAAACGTTAACTACGGTTGGCTTGGCGGCTTCTAATCACATTGTGTCACACCATAGAGTGCTGGAAAGGTGAGATTTTAAGCTTCACCCAACCAAAAAAATTTAATTCGGCGAAGTTGAGAAAAAGTTAAAAATTGGTGAAAATATTGTATTTTGAAATTTTTGTATAAAAAGGGAAGCCACCTTGAAATTTGTGAAGTTTACGGCGACGGTGCTGTATCAGTTCGTGTGGCACAACAATGCTTCGCTCGCTTCCGTTCTGGAAATTTAGATGTGCAAAATGCACCTCGCTTTTGTCGACCTATCGTTGAAAAAATCGATGAAATTAAGGTAGAACAGCACGACCAGGACTGTCACATAAGCAGCCATGACATCGCTATTTAAAGAAAACTACCATTTAATGAAGGCTGGGTATAAAACGAAGCTCGATTTTTGGGTAACACATGAATTGTCTGTGAGAAATTTAATGGACCGAACTAATAACTGCAATTCTTTGCGGAAACTAAATAAAATCGAACCATTTTTGAAGCGAATCCTAACAGGAGACGAAAAGTAGATCAAATACGATAATAATGTGCGAAAAAGATCATGGTCTAAGCAAGGTGAGGCTCAGCAAATGGTCACAAACCCAGTATTGACGCCTCGAAAGGTTAAGCTGAGTGTTTGGTGGGATTGGAAAGGAACTATCCAATATGAGCTGCTTCAACCTATTCGAACGATTGATTCTACATTTTACTATTAACCATTGATGAGATTGAAACAAGCAATCGAAAAAAAAGCTCTAAAACTGATCAAAAGAAAGGTCTTTGTCTTTCATCAGGACAACGCTAGACCACACACATCTTTGATGACTCGGCAAAAAATTGGGAGAGTTTTCCATTAATTTTTATTATAATTATTTTGCGTTTCCAATCGGTTTCAACCTACTCTGAATTTCTTTACGCGTTAATATCTTTAGAATCTTCTCTGCTAGTCTATAATAATTCAAAATATTGAATTGTTAATTGACCACTTCGCTGAAGTTTTTCAAAAATTATGATACGTAAAAAATTTCAAAAACGAAGCTCAAGTATTATTATATTTCCATACTTTTAGTAAAATTTCCATTGAGCTACACTTTAACGTCGAACTTTTTGTTTTTCCGCTCGAACTTTGGATTGACCAAATGTAAAGAGATAAAGGCTAGATTTGTAAATTTCAGTTTTTACGTATTTCCATTTTCCTGTTTTACTTCAAATCAAAATAAAATTTACTCAGCTGGTAACCTTTTAAGTAGTTGTG